ATCCATAGAAAATCTTTCAGTGGCCGTTTCAATGAGTTTCATTATCGCCATTTACATCTCTGTATTCTAAAGCACTTCTTAGTGGCTTGTCTTGTTTGCTTATGTTAGCTCTTTAGTGGATTCGCTGTTTGGACAGTGGTTGTTTTTTGGCAACGGCTAGAAAATTTTGTATATTTTTTTGGCTACTCTTGTAGGTAGGGTTTCATTTTAATGTAATTATCTAGACACCAGGTGCTTTTTTTTTTCTATTCCTTTGAAGACTCAGTAGAACAGCGGTACTATTTTAACGTTTATTAAATGTCTGAGCGTCTATCTCAAGTTGAATTTTTACTATTATAGCGCAGTCGCGCAAAACCTACTGCTCGTGTGCGCGATACTTCGGTTGTATTTTGTTACAGTTTGACTGGCACTTATTCAAGTAACGATCTACTTTCTTTCTAATCAACTAGTTCAATGCTTCTTCTATTGTAGGAGCTGTTAAGTTGTGGGAATATACACATACATTTACAAAAAATGTGTGCCCGGCTTTGCTTCCCTTTTATTTACAGATAGATAATATGTAACTTTGCGCAAATACTCAAAATGATTAACAAATTCTGTTTAGTAAATTATCAATAGCGCAGGCTGTGATGCGTTTTGCTTAGTAACGGTGTTTAAACCTTCTAGTGTCGTCCGTTTTCTGGTCCCCGAAGAGAAATCCATTGACTTCAGGTCTAAAGAATGAGCAAGGTTTCCTATAGAACCTTCTTGTTTAATCTATATGTTCGGACGGCGATTTTTATCGAGATATGCTCTTATGCCTTGACGACAATGCGCAAACGCTCCATTCAGTTGAAACTTAAATTTGTCGTCCCCACTAGAAGTCCACTGTAGAGCGTGCTCTTATAATTGATTCACGAAATTGACACTTTTTATTGTACCGATTAAAAAAATGGTATAGTTAATTTCTTTTTTAATACCACCTCACCCGGCAATTCCTCGTGGATTTACAGGATGTTCCCATGTAACATGTGAATTAAGGGTTTGCCAGTAATTGCATTTAAACTAACTATGCCACTCGATTTAAATACAACTTCATATGCCCAAACTATCTTCTCAAGATCTTCTGCATTCTGTTTACATCTTTCCAAGTGCTATTAGTAAATTACTACTGCTATCTTCAATTAAAATCTTTCTAAAAAATCTTCCACTGATAACATACACCAGACAGCTTTTCCATTTTCAACGTCTCATTCGCATTCTGTTTTGGTTAACGGAGCTCGGCGGCTTTCTTGGTATTCTATGAACATTATAAACAATTCGATTCCGTCTAAAATTTAACTTTTATCTGATTAATGGTAAACCGCTTGATCTGCGCGAATTTCACTGCAATTTAGCCATTTTTGCTTCTGCTTCATTTTGATACTTCCAATGGAACTTTAAAACAAAGGTCTCTGTTGAAAACCTAACCGTGATCTACTAGTTAGTTATACTCGAAGCAAACACCTAGAAAGTTATGACGTATTAAATAGTGCATAGAGATTTTGGGACGTTCTATATACAATCTTTCCACCTTTTATCTATGAGATTGTACTTAGAAACGAAAACAGGTATTGCAATGAAATTTCTCACATGCGCTAGAAGTGTCATTCCTGACGGTTATCTTTGTTCAGCAATACCACCATTCCTCGCAATTAAAACTTCAATTTGAGATTAAACCATTTACGAGCTATTCTGAGAATACGGTTTGGTCCGCGAGTGGCTTCCCAAGAGCACCAGATATATAATCAAGAGGGTATCGGTAGATATAAACTCGTTAAAGCGTTGTACAAATGCTCTGCGTTCACACAGGTGTAACGAAATCGAAATTCAGGTCGATTGCAGGCCAGACGTCCCAAAAATACATGGGATAGAAACGGCCAAAAGTGCGAAAAAAACGCACAAGTCTAAAAAAAAACGAATTATTGAGGCTTATCTGGACGTTCCAGTGTACAATTCATAGGCACAAGCGTGTTAATCCCTGTATCAGAAATTCATGTGTATCAAAAATAGTGTGGTCTTCTGGGCTACTTTGGCCAATTTTTGAGCCTTCCAAATCTAAAGCCTCTTGAGAACTTTTCGGCCTGCCTTAGATACATCTTTACAAGGTTTTTAAAAATCTGCAAGAAAAATGGCAATACATTTAGGACAAAAAGGAAAGTTGTAAAGTTTCGCCTAGCGCGAAAAAAATTGGATAACTGTTTTCTGCAACGAGGAGCTTGTTGGTTCGCTTTAGAAAGAACTGTGTTTTTCCCTATAATCGAAGGTGGTGGATAAACGTGTGCCTAATACGACAAAAAGCCCACAAAACCCTGTCTTAATGATGGGCCTCACCTTTTTATCTACATATACTATACTATTGAAAAGCACTAACCGTATCCGGTTCTATCCCTGCAGAATGCATTAGTGGTATTAACTTAGTTGTCATGCAGGGATGTAAAAATTCTTTATCACAATTTTTGCTGCAACTAATTTTTACTGGAAACTGCAGAAGTTCCCGTGTAATGCGATTCCGGTGTTAAGAGAAAAATAGCGGAAAAAACACCATCGACCAAAGCGGTACATGTTTTGTTTATTAATAATGTCTGCTTTAGTTCCGGCTTAAGAAGCGTCAAGACATTTTTGACCATCATTTGATGATTTAACACTCTTTAGGTTGATACGCGTTTTGCATTCGCAACAAAACTAAAGTGAGTTCCAATTTAAAAATAAATATTTGATGAAAGTTTGATTTGTTTTAGTGGCGATGCGCTTGTGGGAAGATATCTGGAAAGAAACTGCGAACTCAGCTCTATGTTAAAAAGAAGAATTTGAAGAGTCTACTACTTGTCGGCAAATCCGAGATGAAACAAATGGGTACATTCGGCCGACCGCCTATTCCTGAGGTAACCTGTCTTGTCATGCCTGGGCGACGATCGACGAAGTTCTAGGCGCATCAAAATCGATTATTTTTACATTGTCTACCTGTAACGTACGGTGTCCCAGAAAGTGCGGACACGGTTTAACGGGTCACAACGTTTTCCGATGTTTTGCTCTTTTCAGGATGTAACTAGTTAGAAATAACGAATGGACCAAGATTGGTTCCTAAATAAAAAAAAAATGCCTTTTAGATCGCTGTTAGAAGTGCGAAAATGTAGCAGAAGTATGGAGATAATATCGCCGGGGCTTACAAGCGTATCTACCCACGCCACTCACAATTAATTCGTTAGAAGATATATTTGAAAAGGCAAAACTATTTTTTGACAACGTTTTGAAAGACTAACGATGCTAACCAGCTTCGCAGACCGCAAAGGGGTACTGGAAAGTCATAGTAAAACACTCTGAAGGTATCAACATACGCATACGTGCTCTATCAGTGAAGGTAATCGAAACCGGAATTCTGCCATTAGCATTTGGAATCGTGTGAACAGGACGCACAGTTTTATTTGACGCGGTCATTCTTTATTAATGTGAAACATTATAACATCGGACTTATGGGACAACTGTAAATCCCTCCGTTCTGTAGAAAGACATTCCAGAAGCTACAATATCATGCGGCATTTCAAACTGATCAAGCAGACTATTCTTCTGTGTTGATAGTACAGTGACTGGTGCCGTCGTTGGGGTGAACTTAAGTGAATGAAGCATATGCACATTATAATCGTCATGAAGAACACACCTTGATGAAAATTTTCTAAAGGGGCGGGGGCAGGGGAAGACAAGAACGTTTTGTAGAGTCTCCTTCAAACCGTTCACCCCAATGGACGTTTCCTTGTGGAACTTGCGAATCAATAGACCACCATCACTAGCAATGCCCAGACCACTTTGGTCATTTAGGGGAAAAGATGCTGTCTCTAATATAATTGTAGAGGGGGCAGCGTGTCCTTGGCGCTAACCGACAGTCCATAGCAATCCTTTCTCAGCGCTATCATGTTCTAAGACATCCGGATGCAAAAACTCTATTATGAAGCTAACCAGATGCTGATAAACCTAATAAAACTCTAATTCTATCTGAATCACGTAAAGAAGGCTAATGCTCAGAATAGAAAATAGAGTGCTCTCCAATCGCCCGAACAATTTGCCGTAGAGATTATCAGATTGTCAACGTATCGTACTTAATTGGGACCGTCGAAAGCCTAAAAAATTAATCAGAAATCTGTTACTGCGTCCATTGCTTGGCTGCATATAAACAATATTAAATGGTTGGGCGTTAGTTACTTAAGTTTTGCACAGATAGAAGCCAGCTTAATTTATTAATAATGTCCAAACGTACCTAAACGACAGTATGGTAGAGTTTTAACTAATATACTACGAGCCCTTGATACTCTTCTGTATTAGTTAATAAGAACTTACAATTGATCAGAATACATTTTGCAATTACTCTTTGGCGTGCTGTGTGTAAATGGATTTGTGTTGCAAAGTACCAAAGAGGTTTTTTGTTACCTCATGCCTGTGGACTAGGAAGAACCGAATAAATTAGAATACCGGTAAAAACAACCGAGCTTCTCTAGATCGCGCAAGCAGCGATAACTCAGAGGTCTATCATGGTGATATCGCCAAGCACCTCATTGATTAAAGTGCTACAACTGAAAATTTCCAGTGTCACAGTTTGCTGAAATTTTTTTGTCGTTTTAGCTAGGGCCGCAATGAAGTGTCGCCACCGAAGGTTACGAAAGTGCAGAATTTGTAAAAACCGATTAAAGGTCTCCGGTTCCAAGTTATTAGACATTAAGCATCACTAATTTAGTCCTTTTCGTATAGGGAAATGCAATATCGTCTCTGCTAGACTATCTACTGATTCGATGAAGCGCTCCGATACGTTGGCGACCGGTTGTGAAGTTACTTATCGATTTGTTTGTTATATCCTCATCATTTCCCACAGAACAATTATCAAAATTGTTCGATCGCATTTCACTCATATGATTATCTAAGAAGAATAATCATTATCGATACAGCGTACAATTAAGATTCATATTGTATATAATAGTAAATATTCATTTCAGGTGGTGGCCAGCAAAACGGTGGCGGAGGTTTGCTTGGGGGAAAAACTCGCCGCCCACGAACAGCTTTCACCTCCCAGCAATTGCTTGAACTTGAAAACCAGTTCCGATTAAATAAATACCTTTCTAGGCCAAAAAGATTTGAAGTGGCGACTAACCTTATGTTGACCGAAACACAGGTAAGCCTTGTATTATTTTTTTACGCTGCGTTATAATGTTTAAAATATTCATTAATCAGGCGTTTAGTGAGATTGATACCTCACTTAATTTCCGACATTTTCAAAAGTTGCGCTTAGCCCCGGATCGAGGAACACTGCGATTCAGATATATATATATATATATATATATATATATATATATATATATATATATATATATATATATATCTTCATTTAGGCCAGTGCTATTAACATTCAACGCAAAAACGTTCATATGTCTGCGTCGAATTAATCCAATACATAATTACAGACTCTAAATTGTTGCGTATATTCATCGCGGAACGTTATTTTTCAAGATGTTGACTGAAACAAGTCTTAGATAAACATTATGTATTTATAATCGTTCCGATTAGCCCAAGAGAAATAGTGTATTTTCACATGTGTGCGAACTTTGTATGACACGATGTTTGCAATTTTTTTATGCCCTTTCGCTCAATTGACGCCTAACACGCAAACGTTATTCCACGACTTTACAGAATACTAAGCCCATAACCGATCCGACCACTTTCGCTAAGAAGATAAACTATTAATCCAGCTATATATGAAAGCTTAAGAACTACTCAAGAATTTGATAATATTTAACACTAATATGTAGTAGAAATTTAAAGTAATAGCTTTGAAAGATACCTCTACGATCTCCGACGCAATCGTCACAAAAGGTGCCTGAAAACGGTTAGCGAAATAGTCAATTCGAAAGACTCCTGAACTGTATTAAAACTGCATAATTTTAACAAAAAGGTACAAAGTCGTTTTTTTTTTTTTACATTTATACTCGGGAGAACCCTGAATGTAAATAAAGCTCAACCTAATTTATATGTGTTTATAATCTACGAAGTAAGCTACTTGGCCTCTATTGTCCCGAAACAAGAAATTCAAACTAAAATTAATTATAGCACGATGTTTAATTTATTAGCGTGTAGCTCACGTCTGTAAGTCGAGCACCCTCAAATTTAGAGTGCTAAATAATCGGCAATATTAGCGTCCCCAGTTAAGGCTACCACTGCTCAACATTGCTTGATTAGACTGATTCGCCGCAGCGGAAAGCGACCAACTAGAATGCTAATAGATGAACTAGAATTTTAAAGCAGAAGAATATCTTTACAAGTATTATACTAAACATATACACGTTCTATGTTCCAGGTAAAGATCTGGTTTCAGAACCGTCGTATGAAATGGAAACGTAGCAAGAAAGCCCAGCAGGAGGCAAAAGCCCAACAAGTAGCCGGTGCACGAGGGTCAAGCTGTCCAGTCGTCTCAACTGGCGGAAACAACGATGGAGGCAATGGGAGAGCTTCGGAACAACAGCCCGGAACAGGGATGGGGACGATGACCAAGGCCAAGGAACAAGATTCACTTTCTGCTTGCGGACTGTCCCCTTCGGCAGCCGAGAGCCATCTAGCTGTCCAGCTGGGGCCACTTGCCAACCAGCTCGGTCCTATTGCCAACCAGATGAGCTCTTTAAACAGCCAAATAGGATCATTAGCACAACCCAGCGGACCATGCCCTCTACCATTAAACTTCAGTCTTAGCTCGTCAGCGTTAGGGAAGATCGGCGGTGTCGTCGCTGTCATGGGAGGTACAAGCACCGGACGGCCAAAAAGCGGCGGTAGTGGACTTGAAGAGAGTCATGGCGACGTGGAGAACGACTATCCCGGTTCGCCGGAGGTCGACGAGGACAGCTCGTCACAAGATTCATCGCGAGAGTTGATGGTTGATCCCGAGGACCTTCATGACGCCGCAGCCAGCTCGCCTCGGGAGCCCAAAGAACTCCGAGAGGCTTCGTCACCTGCACTCTCTTCACCGGCCACGCCCACCAGTGGGGTAGCCGTTACCCAAGATATTTTAGGTACTCAGGAAAACACCAACAATTGTATCTACCGACCGTACGTTGTGTAAGCAAGCGATAATAATACCAATGGTATAAAAAATTTAATCAATCGAAGGGAACACAGCAGAACAGCTTCGCCCATAACGTCTACTATTAGACAATGAAGCAGCTGAAAATTGATATTTTAGTGGTCCGTATATTGAACAATGCCAGCTGATGTAGACTGAAACGAGATGGTGCTTTAATTAGGATAGAAGGGCTATTTCACCCAGGGGCAATTTCAGCAATATTAGTCAGCCTGTATGAGCGTCCTGCTACGGGCTGAGCAGGTTATTGCTAAGTCGATCTCGAAACGTCATTCTTAAATACTAGATAGAATTCATTTTGTTAGTTGTTGCAACTGGTTGTCCACTATGGATAAAAATCAAATCTGAGGTTGAGTCTTTTTACTTTTGACGTATGCTAACTTAGAAAAGCGAGAAGCAATCGAAAATTTGCTAGTGATACAACTTAACTCTCTTCTTTGTACAAGAACTCAATGGTATCCAGGACTTGGTCAACATTTCCATGAGGCATGATGTTAAGGTCCGACTGAATTTAATTCACCTCTGCTATTGATTCGAACATTGTACTAATGTAAAAGAAATATGTATTTCCAAAGTAGTTGTGTCTTATTTATGTATTGGTTGTTTAATCATCAGAGCTAGTAAGTATTTCCTGCAATCTGTTGTCTGCCTTCAGGAAAGCTGGTCCACCTGCCTCGATGACAATTCCAAAAAAAAAAAGCCAGCCTTCATTAGATTGTAGTGCTGATGACACCGCTGTGACACGATTAGGATTTCTACCAGAACGATTTTGGTTGAAGCTTTATAGACATAGCCAGCAGGCCGAAACAAAGCATAAAACTCGTCCCACAATTGAAGCTGCTGGTTACTCTTATAACAGTTGCAAGACATCAAATTCAATGACGTAGCTCTGAGAATTTGTCGAAGATAAGAAGTAAGTTCATGAATCGTAGATCCAAATTAAAAAAAAACGACTTCAATCCGGGACGGGTTTCAAGAATAGCTATTAGGTCAGTTATGAGTCTTCTTGTAGAACTTTCATATTGCAAAAATGAGTGGTTTGGGTACTATATATTTCCGTGACCGAACAAGCCAGGCATTTATTGAATGAAATATCCATGATGTGTTGACCGAAGTTCAAGCTATCGACGGAAATCGCCAATAAAAAAATTTGGAAGTATATAAAAATCAACCGCTCGTATGCCAGTTCTCTTCAGGTAGCTGCGACGACCGACAACACAATGGTAGAAATAGGTGAAAATCGGACAGGAGTGTCGATCTAAAACAGGATCAAAGATAAGCAATAGTTATTTTCGCAATAGCAGTTTACTAACGATATTACTATTAAGAATATATTACCTATTGATAGGCAAATATCGCACACTCACAGAAACACACGTGAGTGCTAATTGTGTAATATTAAGGTAATTAAAGTCAATCGATAAGCTATTATAAAAAAAAAATGTAACCGAACGCAGATACAATATACTGAGAAGGATTAAATAGGCATGAGCATGACATGTAATGCCGAAAACATTAATAAAAAATACTAATAATTGATACCAGTACTACTAGTATAATTATAAAAATACAGTAATACTATTGTGGAACTGCAAATTTAACCGCAAAAAGGTAGCAGCAACCAAACAACAAAACAATATATTAATAACAACATACAAACAAGTCGACGTTACAAGCGTTAGAGCGACATATATATATGTATGAGAAGTGTTTGAAACTTTTTCGATTTGCAAAAGAGAAAACAGGGACGTGACTGCGGGGCTGCCTTGCCCTTCAAAGATGAGGAGAAGGTCTCAATAGAGGCTAGAATTTTGGCATCCTTATCGGCTTCTCGTTGCCTACATAGTCTAAGGTTTTACGAAGGGGTCCTGTGTTGGGCTACAGCGGTACGTACACAGATGTCAGGCTGTAATCAGACAGCATGAGACAAAACCTGTAGATACGAAGACTGTAGAAGGGAGAACAGTAAAACTAAGGGGGCTATGGGACATGTACGGACCCAGCACAGACGCTGAATGCAAGGCGATGCTACTCGCTATTGAAGCTAAACCTAAAACAGAAATAAAGTTCAAATATTGTCGCAATACAGGATATCATTGTTCTGCTATATACATGTAACATATCACAATTTTTTTTATATCAATTTACAGAGTGACTCCCTTTTAAAGCCGTAGCTAAAGAAAAATATGTTTCAGAAAAATTTTTCGCATGCGTTATATGTCGGCCCTGATGGTTATTTTTGTTCGACATATTGTTCAATAATGGCTTTAACTCGAGATTTAAATTCATCACACACTTGTCTCAATGTTTTCTTTAACAATTGCTCCAGCGCCTCCCTAGCAGCACGAGAAAGCAAGACGTCGCTGTCATCTCAGGATTCGTTGGACTGTCACTCATTAATACCGTATACATAATATTCTAGCAAATTCAACTCTAGCTATTCAGAAGAAGCCGTATCCACTTCTTACAAAACATGTTCAGAATCTTAAGCATGCAATCTTATACTGACTCGCTTGTGTAAACCAGTGTGCCATTTTAATGGAGGACGTACGCCTTTTTTCAATTACGTCCTTTGTCCACAAGTGGTGCATAACAGTACGTAAAACAGGCAGATTTCTTCTTTTTTGACGGTTTCACTTTTTCAGAAAAGTATGCTACCATGTTGCCTTCTCCACTAAACTCCACAGTCAAAGCAGAACATCGGCCAGATCGTTGGTTTCTTTCGACTTCGGTGATTTCTGCGACTGGTTTTTGCATCAATTGTAAATATTTTCAGGTAGAATCAAAGATAACCTGATGTCGAGGCTTCAGCGGCAGTATCTGTCTGAGTTTTATGACATAACGTGTATCTGAGATCCTCGCCAACAGCCCGGCAATATATGCAGCTTTTTTTCCGCAAATGACCTCGCCAAAAAAGAAAAAAATGATCAAAAATTTACTTTTCCAACGCATCGATCAAATCCGAGCGCGAACTGTTTTTGCTTATTGTGGATTGTTTTGTTATGTTGCGCTGGAACTTTCGCTTTTCTAAAAGCTGCATACTCAGCTGCGATTCCTGATACTGACTATTTGGGGCGACTAAAAGAGCTGATTACCTTGTTGAAGAATAGCGTTTATTCATTCAATCAGACACTGTCTGACTTCGACTGCTTGTCAAATTTGCATTCGCTTGGAACGAGCTTTCAACAGTGCTGGTTCTGCATAAACACATGCGTGAATTTCATGCAGCCATTCGAAAAAATCGCCAATTCAAACTTGCTTTGAAGCCCGAAGTAGACAATGTAGAAGTCGATAGTGTTTGAACATAAAAGGGATGGGGTAGCAGTCTACACAAAGATACTTAGTACCAAATAAAAGTATATAAAGCGTCTTGCCTCGTACACAGAGCATATATGTATATGCCATTCTATAGGTCTGTTAGGACCTAGATAAGTCCAACAAGTTCCATCTTATCTAGTCCTTCTAGTGGGGACAGGTTTTTGGCGGTGTACCGAAGGGGGCAATTTCGAAGATCTGTTCATTCAGAAGGATTAATCGAAGGGGCGTAAAAAACATATACAAAAATAGCTCCTTCGTAGTAAACAAATGGCGCAGTCTGATTGTCATTTTGACCAACGCAATAGGAAGTTTCCATCAAATGGGTATTGGAAAGATATTTTTATTTACTATTTGCTTAGGGAGCTAAGGAACACCTTTAAGCAAAGGTACTAATATCTGCTGTATTGTTACTCACAATCATTCGCTCAAAACGAAGTTCCAGTATTATATATGGTGTCCCAAAAGAATGCGTACACTGTTAATTTCCTCCCAAGAGTACAATGATACGCGCCAATTTCTGATTGGATGAGGCATCTACAGAGTGTCATAGTGACGTAAGAGTTGATCTTGATGACAACCTTTTAAACTTGTGGGTTAGGCCAAAAGATTCTATAGAATATCCTACTGAATAACCTAGACCAGTATATGCCAGAAAGCCGATAACCCTGAGAGATTAAAAAACCCTAATTGAGGAAAATGCGCTACAACACTGTTAATTAATACTAAATTAAATGTTTGTTATCGACACCAGTGTATCTATTAGAATGGTTATAACTTTGAACGTTTATATAAGGAGGAAAAGCTTGTATTTTAAATATTACTTATCTTTATATACACATTAAAGAGATAATTGACCTTCCTTTTTTGGAACATCCTATATATATATATATATATATGGGGCGGTTGCGTTATGTCAAGTCACGGCAAGTGTGCTTGTCCATAAAATGCGGTCACTTTATATACTCAAGGAGTTTCACGAATGGATTCAATCCGTTTTGATTTCTCTCAGCTGTAAGATAATCATTAATTTTAAAAAATACATTTTAAAAGAGTAATTAAAAGAGTAAAAAATAAAGTCAAAGTTTTGCTTTGCATGTTCTGTGCACAAGGTCACGCAATCTTCACAATGCCTTGAAAAAATGCAGCCGTAACAATTACTTTAGCTGTGTTTCTAAATGAATGCATCGAGTAGGCTTAAAGCACCAAGCAAGTGACCACAGACTTAACAAATACGATACGAGCAGGTTAAAAATGTTCACCGATTGCGCGATACGTCGAATTTCGTGCTGATCAACGTAATTAGATGTTTAAGCCACGTGAGGTCGCGATTCATTTATCGGCTATGGTGTGTCTCCCCGTGATGTTATTCGTGGCAGCTTTCAAAAAGATACTCAGAAGGCTTCCGAATCCATACGAGAACCCGATACCTTAATATCGTACGACATATATATGTTCTGGCCAAGCTACATTACACGGTGAAACAATTTTGTTATTCCAATTTTTCTGTCTGATCAGGAATCGATTGCAATGTTCTGTTTCGTATATAGTCGAAATAATACCGACTTATATAGCGCCGCCTCACTTTGGTTCATATAACTTTTAGCGTGTAATATTTTTACTGACTTCTTCCTTTAGGGTTCATGCAATACGTCTTAACATAGTCATTTATGACTATGTTAAGACGTATTACATTATTATTATTTTATTATTATATATTATTATTATTATATTAAGTATACAAAATATAACTTGTTTACAATGTGTCTTAAAAGATGCAGTTTTAGAAATGGCAAAACTGCAGTAAAAAAGATTGGCTAATTACTTTGGTTCTTTATCATGGAAAAGAAGCTGACATAATCCGAGAAAATGATGCCGCAAACAGCCTTAAACAAAAACCCAGCTATGTGAATTACTTTAAATGCTTCTCAGTCTAATTTAACAACCTATGCAATCCAGTCTTATTTAACGCTGTGAGCTGAGAAGCGATGTTCTCATGATAGCGCCCTCCGGGTGGTTTTCAAAAGCTAAGTAAGCTTGTATCACCGTAATCATAACACGGGACGGTGCGACAGAGTGTAAATTACAAAGAGATTCGGCTCCATGACGGAAAACGTACATGCCATTCCTAATGAACAACAGTAGTTTCGAAGAAGCCTATCTACGGCAAGAGTTTGCCGAACCCTCTTGAACAATCCATACACTAAACAAGTTACACAGTTTGGAAGGAGTGCCTAAAAATGTACTCAATATGTAGTGAGCCTACAGACGAACAAAGTGAGTGTCGACAACAGGATAAAGTTGCCTTCCGAACAACGTACCTATACAAAAGGACAGCCTGAGGCATTGCATGTTAAGTACTTGTTTTCAACTCCGTTGAAGTATCAATTTCACAAAATATAAGGCCCTAAAGGCCCGTCCGAGGTCATCTTATATGTGATGATTTGGTCACCTACAGGCCTAATAGGCTCCAGGCACAACAAGATATAGCTAAGTTCTAATAGCGGTCACGAGTGCTAGTACTAACCGTAAATTTGTTGGAAACGAGCGATTCAATTCAGGTGACAGAATAACATCATCATCATGGCGTCTGGAGACGTTCTGCATCGAGCCAGCACACTTTTCATATGTCTCGTTATCATACCGCCTGTCATATGAGCTTGCTTGTTTTATTCAATGTCCAGTACTTCATCCGTGCATAAAAGTTCTGGAGATGCAAAAAGCTGATGGCCGCACGGACGGTTAGGAGTGCGAAGTGCTTCTACCTTGCAAGTACACTCCGTCTATTTGATCGAAACTTCTTACTCGGTCTTTTGAGGACAGGTCGCCGCTTATGTAATCGAATTAACTGAATCTGAGCCAAGGAGGGCGCCAAAAGAAGCCCCTTTCGAGCGACGAGCTATGCAATAAGGATGTAATATTATGTAAGCAGCGTGCACTAAGACTGCTCGGCCCATAGCCGCCTCGTATACTCACTAGCAATCATTTCCTTACTTACAAAACACCTCAGGCGCCACTTCGAACTGTCAGCGACCGGTGGCCGATATTCCTTGAGAATATCAAAATTTAGGAATGAAAATTCGCTGAGACTAAGGCCGATAGCAGCTTGAATGACTTACGCCGATAGAACCAGCATACTGTGGCTTGCTCGCCGATGCGCCGCCTCTACGTAAAAAGGTCGACTCCTTCAAATAAAGTCAGAATGATAATGGTGGTAAAAGCAGACCATAGCAACAATTACTGCTCGTGTTAGTTTGATAAGTACATTGCAGTGGACGCCATTTTAACATAAAGTCAATTTACTTTTAGGAGCGGCTTGCATTTTAAATATTCAATTTATAATCGCTGTTCAGTCGTGTACGAGCCGCATTTGCCGCCGTCACCTGCTTTCTGCTCTGCGCGCTTGTTATAGCGTGTATTGAATCATTAACAAATACGCTGTTGCGGCCTACGCACAAGCCAAATCTCCACAAATTAAACAGATGCTAATTGTTCGACAAGTTCTAGTAGCCACCATCCCTTAAGACCTTCAGCAGAACGTATGGCGTATTAGCAATTTCAAGTGAGCTATATGAATTCAACTTCCATATGTGCGTCTCTGATTTTCATCCCCATGATTTAGACTTGGTAAATGTTTTCAAATGTGCGAATATAGAACTAATCAGAGATATGAAAATAAGGAGGTCGTACTGTGGATATCTCATGTAATGAATGAACAGACATGTTACATTCCATTCGTTTCATTACATCGCTTGAAAACGAACACGAGAAATTAACTTTCTGTGTAAGAACAAAGCACCATGGATTGAACCCGGAAAGCCAGCAGAATCTTGCCGAAAGTAAGATTGCCATTATCTGTATTTAGTAGTTTACGAAAGAAAATCTTTCCGAATTTATAAGATCTCATACAACGGTTAATGTAAAATGTTGTAAATGCCCACCCATTAAGCTCGAAAGTTTAATTGAAGGGACAAGGTATCTTTCGGTCTAAAAGTCGCTACATGACACTGGGCTGAAGGATACAAGAAACCTGCATATTCCTGCTCCGTTAAAGAACTCCTTTTAACGCGATTTAGTTGTCAGACCTGACTGCTTTAGTCTACTACTTAAGATCTATCCAAAATCTGTTGGCCTGTGAACTGTGGAAAATTCAGAATATTTAGTCCCTGATTGCTCTGACTCGATGAGCCAGAAATTGGTTCAGAAACTTGTAAAAAAAAAAGCTCCGCGTGCGTCTTCGTAAATGATGAAGAACCGGAGATTATCACGCCAATCGTCTCGATGACTCAGATCTTTAAACTACTTAAAAAAAAATAAGGTTGACGTTAGTGAAACTGTTTTGATTATTTTTACTTTTTGTGCCTAAGCTCACTTGCACAGCAAACTGTTTCATCCTAACCAATGTGAAATGTACATATGCGAGAGAGTACCTTTTTTTTTTTTGAATATTTTATTGTCGTATGTACGAAATATACACATGTACTTGGATATAGGCTCAATTCACAGCCGAGGTTCAGTGGCTAAGTCGAAATTAAACTAATCGTAACATTATCTACCCATAATATACATGATTGGTTTTTACCTTGAAACAGACATAATACATGGACCCTACACGCACATTCAATAAAACATGGTGTATGAGGATTAATAATGCGTTTAACAGGCAGCACATTTTGTAGTTGAATGGTTCTCAACATTGCCAACGTTGTTGTACATAACATTCCATGTGTTTATTTACCTTCTGCTGGTCCCGACATACCACACACTTTGACATCGCCTTTTTCGTGAGTGCTGCTGGTTGTGATACCGCTATTTGCAAGCTCATTTTTATTCCTATTTGACCTTTGCCTCTTTTGATTTACCTACCCTCTCAGTGTTCGGGAAACGCTTAACCGTCCCACAAATGCGACAGGTTACTATTGTGCGCTTACAGGCGTTCTTACCGCGCGTCCTAAGATTCAAGAAAAGAGAGAAATTAATGGATTATGGCATCTATGGAACGCTTTACATATGCTAACTTACCTTCTACTCACTGACTCCATTACATGAACAGCACAAGTGATAGCTACCTCCAAGAAAATGTCTATGCAAATAAGAAAGACAATATGTCGACAGACCCCACTAAAAAGATCAATATGGAGCAATAAGAAAGCTTTTTATTCAAAGGGTAGCTTTTATAAAACTGACTTGGAATGAACTAAAGGAATAGGCAATATCAACCGATCAACACATACTTGACTGGAAATATAATGAAATCTTAAATCAAATACAGTGCATGTTAAAGAAAGACCACACAGCACCATACTGTAAATTTCGATAGTCTGAACCAAAATTATAATGCAACCAGTCAAGTAGAGGTTGGGCCTTACTAGAACGCTCCCGATTTTATCTTCACTATTAGTTTGCCGTTTAATTCAGGACAGAAGCATCCGACACGACGGCAGCGCATTTAGCTCTAGAGACCGTACTTTACCAATTCTAACCTTTCTTTGTGAGCACAATACGATTAGCCCAAACGAAGATACTGGAAAAGTCATATTAATGCAAATAGATGTCCAACAGCGGTTAAGAAATGCACCCTAATCTTTAATCATCAGGACGACCTCTTCTAAACTTCTATGTTCACTGTTGCCGCTCAAACGATAATTTTTGGAAATCAAGAATTTTTTAGTCATTAACACTAAAATTCTAAAAAGCCGAGCTATAGTATTCTGTCTTACCTGCCCATAATTGTCTTCTTCACACTTTCTTTTCTTTTCTCTTTTTTTAGATAATGGAGTTACTACGGACAAAACTAATTGAGGAAGTACATTTTGTAGTTTGTAGGGGCTTTGAAATAACTGACACTAAAGCTCAGTGTTATTTAAAAAATGTATGAAAAGTGTAGTCAGGAATAAACTACGATTGGGGCTAGGTTTTATTAACTATTCTGTATAATGATGAGCTAGAAAATTCTGGCAGGTAAAAGAATTTATGTTTCGAGTTATCATTCGAACTTGAGCTTCTGCATGTTGTTCACTAGCTGCAGCCTAAATGTGTACTGGATAATATATGTAAACACTGACAGTAATCTGCCTGGATTTTCTTAGATGGATCTTCAAATAGTTGAGATGTAAGCTTATTAGTTACATATAGGTTCACTATATCGAAATATTTAGAATACATACTGCACACTAATTAAACAAACTCATACAACAAACAAAGACAAATTAATTCGAACACTAGCTCAGTTATAGTTGAAGTACAGCTTTCATAAGAAGGCATCGGGTATAGATAAACAAGCTTTCGGTACTGCACTGGAGTATAATTATATTTTTCTGAACCTGTTGAACAAACTTGAAGGTCTCAATAAGCTATGTGATTCAGTTAGCATGATACACATTACAGAGTTCTTTAAAGATTTATAGTATATAAGACTTGCTGACTCGTTACTTATCCAATTTTGCAATGCAGCAGTAATTAAACTTGTTTACAGTGTGTTTTGTTTGTATCTAAGATAACCTACATATGTAAAAAAATATTTAGCTTTATCTGCAACTATAGTCCAAACCAAAGCTCAAAATTGGGTAAATTATGGGGTACCTCCTACCTATATAATACTCACCTAACTTTCACTGAATTAGTGCCAGGTCGAAGTGGTGTTGAACACTTTTTGCACAGTATTCGTTTTAGAGACGCATGTAGCTTGCTCTGAGTCTTTCTAGATAGAAGTTGCAAAGTATAGCCGTAGAAAGCGTGAAGATTGCTCGCCATCGGACTCTCGCTACTGACCAAATGTTGCACCTTGAGATTAAAAATAATTTTAAAAGTGTTTTTGCAGCATAGCTATCGCTGTTCTCATTGCGACTACCGTTCATCGTTACGAACCGCATATTCTTTTCTTGTAATTTACTTCTTGAACCCAGAAAGAACAAGGCGGGCGCGTTCAAACCATACTGAATATATTATTAAAAATCAAATCCCAAATGGAAATAAATCGTACACATTGTTGCAGTTTACAAATGTAAAAAGAAAGGTTTTAGTTGGATCATGATTCTTGTTTTAAGCTGGAAATTGGATAAATATTGGATTGCATTTAGATTTTCAATAGGTGAATTAAATGCCATATCACCGAATGCACGACGTCGGTTCAAAGCTTGACGTACCTGCGCCAGGAAGTTCATTCGATGGAAGATTTCCGATCCTTTGAAGCATCGACCTACAGCAGCGGTCTTTTCAGTATCAGCCTTTGCGACGGTTCCTTTCTTTGCCTTTGATTTCTCTAATGTATGTGATGGAGGAGACATCCCGATATAGGTTTTGGTACATTTATAAGAGCATAATAGCTGATCGTAACTGAAAGGGTTAAGAATAAGATTTAATGGGAATGGCTGCAGTTTATCGATAAAAATTACAAAATATTGACTGACAGTAAATTTCAAATACATCAGTGTTTTCATTTCTAAGAAGACGAAAATAAATTAACGTACTAATGATGCATGCTTTTTGCCCAAGTATTATCTTTTCTTTTACGCGAATTTAAATATATGTACATTGAATCAGTTTGGGGCTATAATAACGAACGACGGAAGGCACTATTTTACAATAGATTATATATCTAACTACCTTTCTAATGTTCGAAGCACCAGGGAAAGTAGATAATGCTGTTTGATTGGCTGTCTTCTATTTCACATTTGACCATTAGATACGGTGAGACGCAGCAAGATGAAAGCTCGTCATATTCAAGTCCTCCCTCAAAATGTTCATTAAGCACTACATTCAAATATTTTGCATTTTAATTGCTATACACTAAAATAATTGCCACAGGTACTAGGGAGCAGTTGAAAAATACAGCTTAAATTTTACTACTGCCTCGGGTTTAAATTTCGTTTGACTTAAGCATACTCAAATGATAAACAAATCCTATGGAAGGTTTACAATCAATAAATAGATTGAGCAGATGAACTGTAAGATATATAGATAACTATAATGTTGCTCTAAAGACTGAAAATTTTCAACTTATGTAGTTAGCATCGAACATATAATCACTTATCCGAACGAACCTTTCCAGGGGGTATTCGAGCAACAACGCGGCACTAGAGATGAAAACAAAGTATGAAGTTTACTCTGCGCACTGTCTTAGCAGACAGCCTAAGAGAAGCAACCGCGCCAGAATTTGAATACGCTCGATTGTGATTAATGCATTCAGCCTACTTCTATTTAATCTAGGATCAAACATGCATCTACCACTTCTGATCGAAATATTTGACGGGTTACTGATGACGTATAATTCTGCTGTGTCTAGTATTATCTGATGCAGTTATTGAATAATGCCGATTTTCACCGCGAGGACTGTAAAAATGTAAAAAGATGTTGTCTCTAAGCCACCTTTCATTTTATAAGACTATTTAACATCCAAGACCTAATTGATATACCGTATCAATTAGGTTATTAATTCAATATTAACGTTAATTCAATATTAAATTCACGTAGTTTATAAAAAATGTATAGTCGCAGTTGCAAGAACGATTGACATTAATTAAGGGCATGACTCGCAATGAGCGCGAACTAATCAACCAACCATATCTTTTGTATTTATTATAATCTCACGTTGTAACATTCTCTAAAGTATAAACTATTGTTTATGGCAGTTTAACGACTAGAAAAATTGAGGAGCCGAAATGGTCTAAATGCCGACAGCTTTCTGTTTCGTTAAACATACGTCTGAACTGAACGCTCCATTGGTACGACGCGCTGAAGGTCCTCAGATCTAACAAAATAAGTACACACAAGCTGTAGAACGTCGAAGAGGCAACTGTGTATGTATATTTAATGCTAAACTTTATTATTCTTTATGCTGGTATGTATTTTTTTTAAGTAGTGTATTCCGGATCGAGAATTTAGGAAAGCACCTTTTGTACATTAGGAAAGCAATTCAACTTTTCGAAGATGCAGCGAGTCGCTTGCTAACGATTTCACGCAAAAAAGTCTCTATTTACATATTTATATCATATTACTGAAATTTAAAATCTTAATTATTATAACGATAGTTGCGTAGTTTTATCAAGCGGTGAAAAGTACGCGTTCCAAATAGCAAGGTTCAATTCAACTCGATAGAATCTATCTACCCATATCAGGCTGGATAATAACAATAGCACTTCATATAAACATATTCCCTAACAACTCTAACACGATAAGAAACAATGTGTTTCTTAAACTAGCTAAGAGACGGGATTTTCCAGCAACATCATACGTGAACATCGAGACGCATGGTGTTTATCTCTTTATTCCGCGCATTTAATACATATGCACAAACGTTCATGATCATTTGAAGTAACTCACTATAAGGGGTTAAATTATGACTAATTTATGATTCTTCGATTTTGGAGGGATTTCGGTTAGGAACACAGATAGTTGAAACAAGGGCATACCAGGTTCAAATGCAAAGATACGTGATGTAATCTATTGCCCAAAGTAACACGAATGAGCATTGTATTACTCTAACCTATGATGCTTCTAGTTACTTATCACGTATATACCGAGTTGTAGCGTCTGCTAGTTTTAGTAAAGCTGCAGTTTGTTTGGCCTCGTCTTTAATATATCCATATGATCATTATATAGCTACCACGTATAGGACATAATAACAAAGATAAACGTAGTCAAAAAGTTGCGCTTTGTATATTATCTGTGTTATAGACCGATGCATGCATTTTGTTTAAAATAAAACAGAAAGTCGACCTTCCTGTTTGAGCGGTAACGAGAAAACTATCTCCTTTTAAATTTGATGTGGCGTTAGTACTGAATTAATTAATTTTAGTTAGAAGTTTTTATTTAGTTTAGAAGGTACCTGCCAAACACATTCTTAATATATAAGTAATAATGTTCGAATGTACAATTTTTTCTCATAACTGGGAGAACAAAGGCATTATGTAGTTACAAATGAAACCATTTCTGATTTTCTTAAATCCCTGGACTTTATGTGGGCGCTAATGCGATAACGCTAATGATTCTTCTTTTTTTTCCATTGCCTGTAAACGGCCAAGACGTAATTACTTTTTTCGTAAGTTTACAATGCTTTCACCTCATAATCTTGTACGCATCGTGACCAGACGTTAGCTCTTTTTATGTTTTAATGTATACCATGACACAGGTTCCGTGGTGTCTATAAGCCTTGTAAAAATATCTGAAAGCTTGTTATTGAGCAAATTCCTTCTTTACCTGTGTATCGCCTATAGTCAGCCTTTTAACTCTTTTTCGTGCCGTCTTAGGAAGGCTGGTTATCTCGCAAGAAACGGAGCTCGTTTTGAGTGACACAAGTGTATATCGTGCACGCTTTATTGATGGATTTTCACGGTCTACCTCGTTACATGTACTCTACTATTTCTAAATTTACGGTAGGAGTACAGTTGGTACGCTTCAGTACGAGGCAGCACATTGACATAGTAATGCGTGCAGCTTCAATCATGCACGTAGATGAATGCACGCTTAAATACGTCAATAAAATGAAAGAAAAGGCGAATGTGCGCCAACAGATTGAAAGTGATACCCTGCTAATAAAATCTGAGTCAATACAGACGTATTTTTTATGTTTCATAGTGCTTTGAAGCTAGTATGTATATGAAGCTCAAAGGTCAAGGATACCACTATTAAGTAGAACCGACGAGTAACGAACGAGATGGTCGGTTTAGACCGTTGCGCTCTCTGTATAATATGTCAGGCTGCACAATGCTAACGTAACTTTAATGAACACTTTGCGAAGAATGTTTTAATTATAGCTTTTTACGTATTGTATGTGTATAGATTTTTTGTATGAAAGCTTGTTTGGTTCTTTGTTCCAATTGACAGCGGCCGTACCCATTGCAACCAATAATACGACTTTCACGTTTCTTCGTATATAGGCGCACAGGTATCGTAGGTTTATACCGATGCAACAGATTGAATAGTCAAGAATCGATGAAAAGAAACATAGCGTTAAACAAAAATCTGGTAGTTTCTCTCTATATCCGCTGAGATCTATAATTCATTTGAAGCGGATGCTTTCTATTTGGTAATAAAATGGTAACGCCGAAATCTCTACAAAAAAAAAATTACTAAAAAAGCTACGTTCCAGTTATCTAGCCTGCACCGATTCCAAACAATTAGCACTATGCGTGTACATACTGGCCTGTATACATTGTGCGTATATATACATGTATAAAGCGAAAGAAAGCGCCTATTACTCACGCACATAGTTAATTAATTATTATGTACATATTTGCCGTCACGCTCCATGACCATAAACTAGTTAATCAAACAATAAAAAAATGCTTGTTAAATTAAACTGTCTCTATGTTCGCCGTTGGGCATTCCATTAGACGATTAGGTGGCCTCCAGCATGAAAAGACGTCTGTCTGTCTGTGCCTGGGTTCGAACCCAGACCAGAACGCGTCCGTTAGATTAGCAGGCAGGCATGCTCTTCACTAATGTATCACAGAAACGAAGTCGTTACAGCTCTCTCGCCTCTTCTAAATCACACCAAACAAAGACCTGCTTTATGTATGTAATTTTTGAAATCTTTTTTGGCGGGCCCCATCCTGCCAACGGCATGCATCATGCGACAAGTCTGATTAATAAAGAAATAAACAATACTTTTTTAGTTCGTGGTTTCATAATACGCGCGTATTTCCATACGTTATTTAGTTTAACTTTAACGGTTATTAATGACGTTTTAGTTTACATTGAACCGAAAAATCCTGGAATTTATTTGAAGAAAGTTTCAACTTTCCGTTCTTATATTTATCTACAGGAATGCTTTCGGGCACTTTTTATCGTAATACAAAATTTCACTTCCTGCATACTATTATACATGGCTCACTTATCTCGATCCGGCGTCTAACTCCCTTCAGACTAAATACAAACCGTTTTGTTGTCCTGCGCCTCGTACGCTATCTCTGGCGTATAAAAGCAGCTGAATAACAGTAGTTATCTCTCGTTTACCGTTGTTATATTTGGTATTTTTTCAAGCAACTGAAGTCTTTGAATCGCTTTGAATTCTGGCGATCTTCGAATTTGAATATCCGGTGAACTGTGGTACTATCAACATCGCAGTAAACATTAACTTATTTCTAAGTCATATCACAACCCCTGTATTACTGGTCTTTAAGCAGTCACACCCACGTATGGCTAATCGTAAACGATCAGTTACTTTCTAGTTACTGTTCGATGTTCGTCTGCTAAAACATCGTATTGTCACTGCTCCTTAGCTTTCTTATTTTGCAGAATGTTATCGCGTGCCTTCGCTCACTGATATTTGAACAGCTTATTTAGATCCAATCCTGTGTCTATGAAAGACGTTTGTAGTGCAGCTCGCCAATTTTCTCTGAGGCTTTGACAAGTTGTGCGATCGCCGTATTAAGTACCCTTTTAGGTCTAAGTTTATCAGTATATAACTTATTTTCGCTTTTCAATGCACACAGAGATACACATACATTACATCACATGGCCCTCACATGGTTTGCCGGCCACACGCGTCCACATCCGGAAATATCCTTTGATAACTTCTTCAATACTGGTCCTTTGTTTCCACTTCCTGTTAGCTTTCCTTCATTGCGTCTTAGTTCAGACAGCCAATTGTGCCACAGAGTAAGCAGCGATTCTAAAGTTATCCTGACAATAAACACCCATAACATTACTGTTTTGCGTCTTGATTAGCTGGAAGTTTTCCGTTCTATATTAGCTATCTTTTTTTGCACAGGTTTTGTAACGAGTGGACCTCTGTTACGATTATCAATAATAGGACCAGTTCGGAAATAGGTCTTTATACTTAAAACAATAAATTCAGCGATACCACGACCAAGGTTGGATAAAAATATATATAATTCTTGTGAATAGTACGACTACGTAAATAATGACGATAGAAAAAGCAAAAATACAATACGCTTAGTTGTTTTGGGATTACGAATAGATAATTTCGTAGGCTTCTTATAGTCGATAATTTATTTTAAAGGTCGACGGGTGGTAATATTTGACAGAAAATGCTAATTCTCACTATATAAATGTAAACGGTGTTCCAAAAGGTTCAAGGTTTATTTGGGTGCCATGGAATTGGGATGCACAGAGAGTAAGTAAAACAAAATGGTATTCTAGCTTTACGTTGGAATACCATTTTGTTGTTGAAAGTTGAAACGTTTGCCTTTGGAAGAGTATCAGCAGAGATTTTCACTTTGTTTTTCTTTTCTTTGTAAAAATACAAATATAGTAACACGTATGTGGAACAAAGAAAGCGAAGACAATCCCCAAAAGGCTTTCTTTCTTTCTTTCTTAATTTCCTCATCTTTTTACTGGTTTTAATCAAAATTTGGATTCTCCGAAGTTAAATTCTTATAAAAGATTGCTTTTTTTCGGAAATACAAGGGAGCATCTGAATTGTTATTAATAGACAATGAAAAAAAAAACACAGCATGGTAGATTCCCTTCAAAAAGATAAATTTTGATTCGTCTTCCGTAGGATCGTGTAACTTACTGAACGCATAATGGGTACAATGATCAATAGTTCGAGTCTATTTTTAATCTAATTTATTCTTGTTCTTTCTGCCATGTATCTTTTTTAGACTAACTGTGCAATAAAAGAAGGCGTACAAATTTATTTAGCGGCCTAATATTAAGGGGATTCTGTCTTTTCTATCTTTTAAATCAAATATGCTCTCCCTCGTAAGTGAAACAAGGTTAATTTTAACTCTTATTTAAGATCTCTGAAACATGTTAATGTATCATACACAGTTTTGTTTTTAAAAATATATACAACCTTCAAAAAATATATTTAGAACACAAAATTTACTAAGACTTCATTCATGGGCCAAAGTGAGAAAGAAAACAAAAGAAGTTTGTAATGTACACATTCATCAAAAGATGTAATAAAATATAAACTTTATTTAGGTGGAATAAAGAAATTAGACGCGTCGCCACCGTCCACCGCTCCCGCTTCAAACGATATTCTCTCAGATCTGCGTTTTTCAAGAAAGAGCCGCTGTCTTTTTTCTTATGAGTGGACTCCATATACTGCGTTGGCACTGTCCCTTAGAGATCGCGCACTTCAATCACAAACAACAGTTAAACGTAGCTGAATATTAGGCATAACAAATGAATAAGATTTCCCATTGTATTAATAGGAACCAGATAACGCACGAGCTTGGACAATCATGGTCAGTCGCTTTAAAACTCCCGCCTAGATGGATCAATGTCATCCGCTATCTCTTTGTACTGCTGTTGAGGCTAAAAGGCCATGCTGTAGATTTAGGCCCCATCGTTAGACAAACAGCACAACTGACGTGAAACAGCGTAAATTTTCCCTGTTCCAAAATCGTAATCCGATCATCAGTTAAATAGAAACGCAATTCCCAACGGACTAACTACTCGTAAATGCAGCGAACCTTTTTTTGCCATTCGTTTACCTGAAAGCCCTCGGGGCAACAATGAATGTAGTCCGAGCAACAAACCGCGTTTGAGTACGGGCAGCAACCATATATACCACTTGTCATAACACAACAAGTCGTATAATCTGGACAGTACCTTTGGTCCGGACACATAATAAACGTCAAGTTCAACTCTACAAGCACATGCGTAAAAGTTTGTTAGGCCTAAAATTGAACAATTGCTGCGTATATATGCATGCTTGTAAACCAGGTACCTAACCTATTTTATGGCAATGGAAATCAAAACGTTTGCAGTATGTGTGCAGGTGGCTTGAAGATTATTACCTTTACTGACTGGATAAACGCCTGCGATGGTGACGAAAAACACCAAAAAACTAAAGATGGATTTCATCTGAAAAACACAAATTTAGGAATAAATCTTATTTTGGAAATATCAGGAAGAAGAACAAGTCTGAATTGGTCACAAACAATCCGGATAATAACAATACTCTCTGGAGGAATTAAGTGAGGCGTTAAATAAACATCTGAAACACAAGTTCACAATGACCTGACGATGAGCTTCAACAGTAGAATAGACCTTGGCAGGCGTATATAGACTGAATAAGTGAGTGCAGTCGGTACTTAGTTAAATAGACTCAAATATCGTATTAACTGTTCCAAACCTGTTCCAGCCTTCAAGGCTGTTGGCTCAAGATTAAAGTTTAATACCTTCAAACGGTTCTTAACTCATGAAAATGGCACAGTTCTACTTCACACTGGTATTAGTGCAATGGTCTATAAACAAGTATAGTTGTGAACCTCAGTATGTTGTGGACCGCCTCTTTGTAGCGGTAACTGTCGTGACTCTTCGAAGCGTATTTCCGATGCAGTTTTTACCTGTGTCAGCGATGGAGGTCTAGCAAATTAGCAAGCCACGGCTCTACCTAGGCGTCGTTGGAAGCGAGTGACCTTGACCTCTGTGACAAGGCGCCCCATCGTGCATCAAGATGAAGTTACCGTTAGGAAATGATTCCCGTATCTGTATCAGCATCTTACTCTCGATAACCGCAGATTTTCCCGTCCCCCTAGTATTTCCTGTGCGAAATATATCATCCCAGTGCCTTTTCAACTACATCACCATTTTTGATGAATGCACGATTTGCGGCATGAGGCAGCTTTCGGAAAATCGTTCGCCAACACGTTTTAAAGCATAACGCTCTTTCAAAACGAGATTCGTCTGAAAAGCAAACCTGTGCCAGTTCTTAGCAGTGTTTGACTTGCTTTCTGAATGAAAACGGGTTTGTTTCAGTCGAGCATTCAGTCGGCATCTGGCTGGCAAGTCGACGGCTCTTGAGCCAGCCTTGCTAACAACCTTCGATGCTAGATAGCATGAGACACTCCAGCAATTGTACGCTGCTGATTTTTTTTTTGACGAAATAGTCTGCTAATCAGCTCCTTGTTCCTCTTTCTACTTTACGCACACAAAAATACACATATTCACTAGATAACATTCAAAACGGTCATGGTCACTTGAACACCCACAGGTGTCCCCAATTGTCGCGTAAGACGGACAGCTGGAACCAAGTGCGTGCTATCAATGCTAGGAGATGTTCGCGTCAAGTGTATGTGCTCGATTCGTTGAAATCCAATTTATCGCCTGCCTGCGATCGTTCACATACATCACGTGAGCTTTATCTATCACGTCGTTTGTCAGGAGTTTAAAATTGCTTGCCAACGTAAAATCATACCGCTTTTATAAGCCAAAAGCAGTTCCAGAGTAGCTCGCTTCAGTGTTGCGTAGCTGGCACTTAGACACTGGTGATTTTCAAAGCATTATTAGTGCACAGTTATACTTGTATCTCTCACGTAAGATCCCTCCCTAATATAAACGTGATTCTGTAAAGGATCTATGCTTTGCAAGAAAATAGAGTATATGGTTCCTGCAAGTCGCTGTATTCGACTGCTAATCTTAGGACGCGTTGTGGTCTAGTTTCGAACTCATATGGCAGAGACACATACGGTTCATCATTTCGTGCTGCCAGCCAGCCAATTGTCTATCCGATCGAATGCCTACCAGCGATACCGGACGTAAAACTCAAAACAGAGAGGGTTCAATAAATTCAAACACTTTCTACAGCATGGAAAATCCATATAGTCTGCGTAAACTTGCTATCGACGGTACAGTGAACGGTGGGCATAACATGCATACGAACAGACGCAGGAAGTGGGCATTATCTATATGCAGTGTTTTGATTCGGGCGCACTGGCGTTTAATGAAACACGCCCCGAACGTAGCCATTTTCTTGTGTCCGGAACGGATCAAAGACAGGGACAAAGTCACCCACCGTTACATTCGGCCAATACGCTTTTTTCTTTTAAAAAAAAAACCTCTATTCTCACTACGAAAGCTTTCTTACGATGATTCTTACGATGGCTCTTTGCGGAAAGGATCGAAAAGATCGATGACACTTTCAGTCAACTCAACGTGGACACTCAGGCAGCGATCACTGCAATGTATGTATCCTAACACTAGAGACGCAGTTGTGCCGTCGCCACTAGTTGATCAAGGGGGCATTGCCATCATTTCGCACGCTTACGTAAGCTGGCGGCAAAGTTAAGGAGGGGGCGATATTAAGGCGGTTAAAGGAGAGGGCAAAAACTCTTTGTCTATCTCTTCAGATCTATCCGTTAGGCAGCACTCTAAGCGACAAAGATGGTGCTGCTACCGCCGTTAGTTTTGAGGAGAAGCGAAACTTGAGTTCTTAGTTTGGTAAGAGCTCGTACACCCGTAGAGAAAGACACAGCTAGACTAAATGGTAAAATGGAAGCTCGAGATTTACCCGTTGATTAATTCGTTTTGCGATGAGAAGAAAGAAAGACACCTACAACGACTCTAAGAGAAACAGAAAGGCCCAATGCGTGAGATCAACGTTGGCACTGGTAGCTATTATTGACAGACGGGCATAACACGCACCCTTATGTCGATTGATACATTTGCAAAAAATTCGGTCAGCTTTTGTTTGTTGTTTAAATCTCGCGTAACATTTCCGTTCAGAGCGGACTTTTCCGTGTTTCTGATGGCGCTTGTGCTACTAATCCTGATCTGTATATCTCCAAACTGCTGCCTGCAGCGTTTCCTGTCAAGGCTTTGGATGATTATGCGTAGACATATCGTGATGATGAGCCGACAGCACACTCCGGACCAAAAAGCCTCTTCGCTGTTTGACTCACACGCATCCGATATTTGTTGTCGGTAGCAAAGACGTGACAATCAAAAACGTACTAGATAGGTACAAAAAGTGCCATGATGATAATCGGCAAAGCGATATAGTCAACATGTTAACAGCAAACATTTTCAGTGTTGGCGAAGGGGTAAAATGCAACCTTTGTTGTTAATAAAATGAGTTTGAATACCTTCCAAGTCACGCCTGTAGCGAAATTTTTAGGTGATTTTGCTTTGAACATTGGCTTATGCAATACATCTTAAATTGCCGTTATATATATATATATATATATATATATATATATATGTGTATATATCTATATTCACTAGCCAGTGTAGACACTGAGTCCTGCAGCAAGAGATAATCGTTTTCAATTAACTTGATTAGCTTAATTAAGACTAGTTCAGAAGTATGTAAAACGCTTTCGAGCCCAGCAGTTAGATCTCTTCGGAGTAAAAAATTCAGACAACCAGTGCTAGCCGCTACTACAAATATGGTGTCCTTCATACGCCCGTTGTATCCATAGTGGACAGAGCAAACCCCTATCGAATAGGCTCCTGAGCTGAGTTGAGATTTTTTTCTATAGAGTATAGCTGATAATAGTGTTGAAATAGTAGTTAGCTGATTTATACGGGGCAATGGAGGCCGAATGTGTTATAATAGTAAAATAATGTTTTTTGATACACCGCGATCTATCCTGCTTAGTTGTAACCATAGCCGTGATAATAGTTACGAGGCATAGGCTTCGTGCGTCAACAAGCAATGCCACCTGTTGAAATTGAGCCGTTCACGACACGCCATAGGATTTTGATGCTAAATCCATCGTTCAGCATTTAGCGACAATTTTATTGAAGCTTATAGTACTATATCAAACAGTACGTCTAGTTTGTCGCTTGCCATTGGACGCATGATCGATTTTCACAGCTAGTGGCTGGCTGCTCTCGAAATATTAAATAACCAAATGGATTCCAGCATAGTATTAACGATCATTCTCTCACGTGAACCTAAGTCAACACTAGATAGGTTAAAGGTTACTGCTCATGCTATCACAACGCAACTCTGCCAGCTTGCTTCTAAGCGAGTAAAACAAACGGCTTTAGATTACACGAACTAAGCCCTTGTCGTGGCGCTAGGGATCATCATGGCTCTTAGAAAGGCACAGGGCAGACCTATTATGTCGACGACCTTTCCAAAAAACAAACACCATTTCTAGAAGCAGTGACGCCGGGGGTTGAACGATGCTTCTTACACGAGGTCCAAAAAGACGCTGGTTCCAGATGGTTAAACGTATCGACATGCTTAACCGTAGCGAGTTGCATTCTATCGGTGCACGAAGTGATCTAACAACGGAGTTAATACTTATATGAACTATTGTTAAAATGCAACATCCTGAAAAAAGCAGTAGTTTACACGTGTACAAACACCCGGGAGACTGCATCGTTCCCCGTCGATAGGGAAGTTATCCGGTCTCGGCTTAGCCTTTACGTGGTCCATATTTGTCCTGGAATATGTTGGAGGGACGTTGTGATCATTGCGTGCACTAAGGACATGTGAGGCAGACACGTTTGTCGACATATTAAAAGGGTCGACCTAACAACATTTTGTTGTTTTATTGTCCAGGTGGGTTTCTCGCGCTGTACCTCATATATAACTGTGATATGTGCAAGGAGAATAGTTATTTGATGACCGTTCTTTTTCCAAATACGGTTACAAACTTTGAGTCGGCGTAGCCCTTCGCTTGACACCGTGAATCGGGTTAGGGTTCCGTGGCGCTGTACAAGTAAATGCCGTCATGTTATCGATCAAAGAATATTTTATAGTTGGAAATATGTCTTTCACAGTTGGGGGTCTATCTGCAGATGGCTGTTGTACGAAACGTCATCGAATACGCTTCACTTGATGAACTAATTTCTATTGGACGAATAGAGTTGGCGCATACTTGTACGGGATGGTTTGTCAATAGACATCCAAACTCGAGGTCCGATCGATAAGAATCGGCTTTCAATCACTGTGAAGCGGGACGATTGTTGACGTTTACGTTGTAAAGGGCCGAATATCAATGCTCCTATGTGTGAAAAGTTTTAAATCGGTTTTCGAACTGTTATTTGTGGCCCTCTAGTTTTGCGTCTGTTGTTCCCCTATAAATCGGATCTAAATTTTAGTGTTTGCAAACGCAGGTTTGGATACGTCTAGCTGTCACTGATACAGTGTCTTTTGCCGTATGGCCTGTGGACTACTTTCCGAGTCCTATTTTATGCGTACAAACCTGACGCTGTGTGCAAAACAATTGAGTCATTTTTGTGTGAATCATTGCCCTCAACGTCATTCTTAATACTTGAGGAAGATTATTACTTCATTGGCAGACTAACACACAGCGCTAGTTGCTAGAAAATGTACATTGTCTTGATATTTTTTAAACACCTAGCCTATAGTCAGCTACATTGTGGTGCTAAACGTGTATGCAGACGGAAAGCTAAGTGCTGCACAAAATATTATTGAGTATAGGCAAAATGTATTAGTCACTTCCTAGACTCTCGCAGGCCGCCCAGTGGTGGGTCGTAGGCGAAGTCTGAAATAACGATCTCTAATCTATCGCCTGAAATCGTGGTAGTGACTACAGACGATACCTCTTTGGTTACCTAGTCATTGTCTTCAATATCGAATAGATTGCTTTTCTTGGACTTATTATACCGTTCAAGTGTAATACGCAATTATGCCAGAAATAGTCGTATTTTGCTATGTAGTCTATGTGTATAAACTTGACACTTGTTCTAACCAAATATCGGGAATGCACATAAGTCACAAAAAAATTTCTCACCATAATTCAGTAGTCCACTTCACAAATCGTTTCCAAGTTAGGGACTAAAACAGTACCCATAACGTGGCGTTAACGTCAAAAACGGCCTAGATTTTACCTATTTGAATATATACAGTGTTGTAGTGTACTCATAAAGTGCTCCTTAACAGACGACAGGGTCAAAAATACGTACTTTTTTTTCGGCAGCTACTTGTCCTTCTCTACAGTGTGAAACGGTAGTGCAGTCAAAAATACAAGGTCGCTCAAGTAATGACCACGTAGCGGCTAAACGGTATTAGTAGAATATTAATAATTAAAGAAAAAAGAAACTAGATTAAGAAAATACAACTGCTATTTGAAGCTTCTTTATCAGGGAACTTGTTACCAAGTGACTCTAATTCGTGACGGAAGACGATTGGCTTCAAATACGCCCTTATCTTTTTTATAAACAAAGAGAAATCTTTTTATCTTCCTACGTGCTTAATTTTAACCTTAGAGACTCAGTCGTCCAAGCAAATGAAGCAGATTATTAATTTTTATACTCTAATTTACCTATTACGCAAAACGTCTCATTGTAACAAGGAAGCATATCGTACCGTAAAAATATTTTACGTCAAGTGTGCGGAAGTGTTCGTCATTCACGTCCGTTCGTGTCATCCGAGACGAAATCTCTAGCGGCCGAACATGGCACGAGTTCGATAATAACGGTAGCAAACTGGTAAGAAGGGAAACAAACAAACGTCTCCATCGAAACGCATATACGAAAATGACGACGTAATTGCGTGTTGGAAGGCGTCTACGGCATGAACAGATACTACGACCTTAGGACTCGAACGCAACAACTTGGCAAGTAAATAAAACTAGCCAAAATTATTCAAGTGTTAACGAGGTGCTGAAGACTTTATGCATCAATGAAGCTATGAAATGATTAGTATTGAAGTGCCAGCGATACTTCTACTTCTTCGGATGCCTATTTATGTGCGGAGAACAGAAAATGTAGCTTTTTGCGCATACACCCCCCCCCCCCCCCCGTTTAGTCGCGTTTGGCAAAGGCCAATATGTTCTCCGAATAGACCACTCAGTCAAATCAAAACCAAACAATCCACTCAATTAATAGAGATCACTTAGCAGAAACAAACCTGTAACCCTTCACTAGAGACCGCAGAAATTACTAATATATATATATATAGCCCGCACTATTTCGTTGTACCAGTGCAAGATTCAAAACAGAATAAAGCAAAACTCAGAACCTGTGTCTGATGTTGAACCAGTTCCTTTCTGGATTCGTTGCTGGCCGTGGCCACCACTTATTTGCTGACTCGAGTATCTACTCCATGTTAAGTCTGTTTTATTTACTTCACTCAGTCATCAATGTTAAGCAAGTATTTTTATGAATATGGGTTTATTCGGGGCTACTTAAAATGACGGAAAATTTGAATAAGCTTTAAGCTACGATTTTAGGCTTAGATGATTGAGTCTTTTCCCGTCGACGGGATCGGAAGGTTGAATCTCCCGATTAGTATACTGGCCTTAACAAGCACATGTTCAGTGAAATAACAGCAATTGTAAATAGTTATGTAAAGACAATGAATGTATGTGTGCTTTAGGCGATTTAAAAGTCATTCGAATCCTCTCGAGATACCTAATATACTACCACGAAGTAAACTCAGATTCATTTTCACTAATAATATATATATATATATATATATATATATATATATATATATATATATATATAGGTTTACAATCGCTTACATCTTATAGTGTTACGCTGCGCGCTGGAAGGATCCAAGAGAGGCGAGTATTTGTGTTCGGCCACTATAATTTGGAGATGGGGAGATCTTTGGGCAGCTCGAGTCGTTGGCTCACTCTTTTTTCAAACTGCTACGAGCCCTTTGGGCCATTCTATGTATACATATGCTTTTTGTTAATTGACTGTCTTATTTCTGTACTGCGCTTCGTTTGTTTTCTCACATGCTTATAGTTAAGATAAGCGACTTTGATCTTGATTTTTTTCCTACTTTTGCTGCTACCTAGAGCAAAGTCAGACGTTCTCTGAAACCCATTTTTTAATTATCTATTTCCCTTTCTTTCTGAAGTAAACGCCACAATCTGAATCTGTTTCCACAGTAGTACAAAGAAAATAAACTCAACCCGAAGCCTCTCGTGGAGTTGTGTCATTTCTGAACATATCGTAATTGCCGTACTTTGGAGCCAAGAAGCCTTCGTGAGGATAAGTAGACAAATGTTAGGACGTGTTGTTAATGATCACCCATGCGTTATCCTCGAATGGTTGTGTCCCTCGATAATTAAAGTTCTTAAAGCCTGATACAGGTCTACTACCTATGTAATCAATATGACTTTTTACGTAAATCAAACTGATTCCTACGTAAATCAGACAGTCCTAGCATACAAATGCTCTACGAATCGTGTATACGCAAGACAATATATGGGTTGCATGTTGTCGAAAGCGGTCCGTCTAGAGGATGCGGTGGTAGCGCTGGACATGGTTCTGAACAATGAATGGGCCGTGACGGGATCGACATCTAACGCCTGAATTAGAAAAAATATAATGTATATATATATATATATGTATATATATAATAGTAGTTGTCGTAGGGGTAATGGACATGGATTTTCATTTGTGCTGAACTAGAGTCAATACATTTTAGAGTGAGATTTACCCATTTGATAGCGAGAAATTTAGCCGATCATTTCGCTCGCCAGGTACGTACCATTGGCACAAAAAAAAGGCAGAAAGCCTTAAGGCAAACAGAATACGTCGAATTCTACATTACTAAATCAATTCTTAAGTCGCGTTTTTTTTACTTGGATACGACACATTAGCATTTCGTATTAACATAGAGTACACTCCGTTGTACAAAGGTGTTCAAACGTAAAAAGCCACACGGGGCTTTATTCCTATGCATTCACGCTTCCTCGTATAAACATTGTTTAATAGATTTTTGCCCTAATAAACAATAATAATTGATTCATTAAGGAAGTTGTCTTAAAACACGTTTTTTAATGTGTTATATTGATGCAATGTAACTTTCGAATTTGATAGCTCTTCTAATTATTAGATTTAATCAACTTGAAAAGCGTTCTGTCTAATTCAATCCTGAAAATATTCACTGCGAACTGGATGCCGTCACCATGCTCGACTAATACACTCTACTCCCCCTTCGTGAAGTAGCTGCTAGCGAGCGAGAAAAAAACGCTTCAGGGGGCGACCACATAAAGCATGCCTACCGCCGAAATGGTCTGCTTTGCTAGAATTGCTCCAACTCTGACGAACACCATATTGTGCTCGCCGCCGTCGCCGTCGCCTCCGGCATCAACGACTTAGCTGACGTTTAGCGTATCGCGCGCCTGGACTCGGAACACAGCCTGGGTGTGGGCGCTTTGGACAGCTTCTGCTAGTGAAACGAATGAGAAAAGAAGCCGTCGTAGTCATAGCTCTACCGCATTAGTTCAATGAAGTCGCGGGTTACACCGGGCCATTAGGTCAAGACCAACTGGCTCAACGCTGAAACACACAAGTGGGAAAGCTGATATTCAATCAAGTTGCTTGCTTGCCACGAACGATGATTGTTGCCATAAAACACTATCCGGAAACAACGAACATTCGAAATAGACGTTAACAAAAACTTACTAACTCGGTAAATGTCTCTGACCGTATCTAATTACGAACTGCATATTTATACAAGCTGCAATGGCTGTCCCATATATATATATCTGCATTCTATCAAGCACAACCACTCACGGTAAGGCTATAATAGCTGGATATGTACGCTAATGTACATAGAGTACCTATCGCTATAGCTAGATTTGAATGTGCCTAGAACTCCGTTTAGGGGGTTATTCTGACTTAAAATGCCACGACGAAATCAAATGCAACTCTTTTCCTATTGATCGCTTGTAACCAGCTCGAAATGGCAGGCACCCCTTTACATTGCGGTATGGTTCCCAGTTTGCTGGCAGGTGTACCTACACTTGCCAGTTACTATGCATACGGGTCTTTCATAGTTAGTGGGCACTCATGTGGTCACCAACTAGGTTTATTTAAATTAAAATAACGGCGATTGTGGACCATTTAGAACCTGATTCCGTATGCCGGATGCCTAATATTGACGGAATTAGAAACTATCGATCATCTCAATGACCCTGAATTTGATACAGACGAACAGATTATCGTGTTGTTTCTTTTTAAGGGCCCATTGTTGGAACTTAGTCGTTGCTATTTTGTATAATTAATGAATCGTTAGCAAGAGACGCATGCACGTTTTGTTTCGCACAGGTCCCTGAGCGGTTCAGCTGTAATAATCCGTAGACTTCATATAGGTGTCGACTGAGCAGGCCGGTCTGTGAGGTTCGCATCTACAAGATAGGCCGCCGCAGCTCTTTGCCACCTTTACTGTGGGAACAACATTAATCTATGTCTATTGTAAGATTTCAATCCAATTCGTATACATCTATATGAAACCAGAATCAGCTGATGTCCATCGTTGTCATAATAATCGCGTTCCCTAATAACCTAACCGTTTTTTACCTAAATAGCTTTCAAAATATCTCAGATAATACGAGTCGTGTCGGCTTGACGGTGATCTGAGCTGAGATTTGAACGTAGTAGCAGTGCTATTGCTTATGACTTGAAGATGAGTGAAAGCATGTCGCTATATCTATCTCACCATTTTGTTACCATGAAAATACACATTCAAAAGAAGCGCCCCAAAAATGGTTCCATGGCTTTCGAATGGTTATCGAAACTTCGATGTGGAAGATGCTCCTCGTAGTGGTCGACGAATTACGGAAAACGTTGGCGAGCCCCACTCGTGAGTACTTATGATATTGCTAAGAAGTTAGCCATCCGGCTGGCGAATTGGCGGAAATGGAATTGACACGGACTCGATCGTATTTTCATCGATAAAATCCTTTAGATACGAAACGAAACTGAGCCGCTCCGACAGCAATCGATTATAATGTGTAGATAAAAAAAAAAATAACAAATCCTCCCCACAATCTGTGCCAAAGTTAACGAAGGTAATGCTATGTGATATCGTTGATGACATCGTGCATTATGAGTTGCTGCTGGTTAGTAAAACGATTGATTCGTACTTCTTCCGTCAATAACTAATAAGATTACAACAATCCACAGAAAAAATCCAGTCGATCAGAACTAATGAACAGAGAAGTTCCGACTTGCACCGTGACAATGCCAGACAAGCTAGATGGCGGCTATTCGAAACAATTTGGACGGGAAATTTTCATGCATCCGCTGGATAGCTTGGATCTTGCACGATCCAAATATCATCCATTTCTATCTCTGTAGAATTCCCTTAATGGCATTTAATGAAGGAACGCAAAAACTAGCAAGCAGAGAAGCTGTATAGATTATGGCGCTACCAGATGGTACCAGTGCATATTTAGTTAAGTACGATTATTTTAAAAGGCAAAATTAGCACGAACACATGGTTCCTATAAGGAGAGCGCAGAGCCATTAAAGCTCACTAGGACAATTATGTCGGGCTAGTTTGTAACGTTGACGTCAATTAAGGATTGATGTGTGCGCTCATGTACGCGTAATAAATCAATAGAAAAATCAGGAACAAGGAGGATGTCCCGTTTTAAAAATGTATGTAAATCAGTCTTGGTATGATCTAGGAAACAGCGTTTGAACTGTGTATGTCGCCCGACCTAGTTGTACTCAGCTCTATACGATTTCATGCTACGTCTATTGCGTGGGCAGTTCTATTGCGAACGAGGATGAGCACTGGGCGAGGGGCGCAGAGAAGTAGAGGGAAAGAGAGATGATGGCTGTACTTTCGTTCCGTCGTGAGTGTTCAGTTTGGGTACATGCTCCGTCATCCACCCCCCTAGGGTGTCGCTACCTTAACGTATAACCTACACACACGTTCAACATTTCGGTCACTGCTGGGTTGCATCTGTGATATTGCGCGCAGAGCTTCTGTCACGATGAAAGTTTCACATACATTCGACATAACTCTCTCCAGATTCTACATTCCAACGTTTACATACAACTCGAACGATGTACACTTCTTTGGAGCGCATATTGTCTCCCCTCTCCCGCTAGCCTTTCTCAAATGATGACCCTTTCGCGAGTCCCTTTCCCTTCTGTACAGGGAAAGGGAAAACGTACGATTTTCTCTAGGCCTGTACGCTACAAGTGTTTTTCGGTAAAACAGAGTAGACGCGTCAGCAAGCTGTGCGCCGAAACTTGTCGTGAAAGTTCGTTTTTTTGTCACAAGAGAAGTGGTATTGAACCAACTAGACCACACAGAATATCTATAAGACATTGAAACTTTGTTTATTCCAGCTATCCTTAGAGGGGATTGCTCTAATATTAGAGTGTTTCCACTAGAAAAAGTTCCCCAACATAATTCACTGCATTACACTGAGCTTATTCTGTGAGCTTCAGTTATGAGTTAAGATTTTAGTAGCCGTCGTGCTGCACGAGGGAAGTTATAAGAGGCATTGCAGTTGACAAGTCGGAGAAGGCCAGCCTACATTAGCTTCAATTTGGTAGAGAGGTCCCAATGCGGAGCAGTTCAACACCACCTATCTAAGTGCTATTGTAATAGTGACCAGCAATATCAGCAAGGACTGATCTAAGCAAGGCACGAGTCAATTAGTGTGTCCTGGCGGGATTTACCGGTACAATGAAGATCGCTGTATAGCTGTATCGAAATAGTGGTCTAGGCGGTAGATCGTAAATATCACCGGAGTGAAACATTGTGTGCTAGCGTTAGCCGAACAACGGTAACGTTCCAATACACAAGTGAATGACGCGCGTTTTTTTTTAATCTGCTATAGTAAAGCTCTATTTGAAAAAATAGTTAAACAAAAAAAAATTGAGGATCTGATCAGAGCTCAAAGTCAAGCGTTCGTCAAACGTTGTAAGTATGTCGATAACGGTTGGAGAAAAAGCAGCGAATTTTAGTAACCGCTCAAGGACTCAACAGCCGGTTGGAAGCGTCCCTCCAAATGCATGGCAAATCCGCGTCGGCCCGTCAAAATGCCTTACATGCAAAGCGTGCGAGACCCTTACAAAATGTAATATATCGTAGTCTATTTTTTTTCTTCTTATTACTATTGTCGATGTTATCTGCTAAATATTCACTCGATGAACGATTATATAAACGATAATTTAAAATAGTGTTGCTTCAATCCCGGCTTTTAAACCAGATTGAGCTTCGCCTAATGAGCTTGCTATAATACAATGTGACTATTATGATAATAATTTCTGAGCAAACGTTAAAATCACTCAAGGAACGCACTCTATCTCGTTTCAGCTTTAGCAAATTTCTGAATCGTATTCTCTGAAACATCGCAGTAACCGACACAAAATCTAACGCAATACTTAGGGTCACTAGAAAACGGAGACTTTATTGGGTCATGCTATGTATATATGGAGTTAAAGCAAATCTAACGGTAAGTGACTTCTTCACTAAGGTATACTCAAATTAACTTGAAAGCGAGAAATAAACTTCGTAGCAGACACAAAAGCCGTTTAGAATTACACAAATTCTAATTGGTTTAGACAATAATACGGCCCTGGGGAGCTTCAGATGTTGCGCCTTGGAAACAACTGCTTCTCGTTCCCCTTTGGTGAAAAGCCAATGTTACACGTTGTTAACAAAAGCATGAGCTTCGCGTAATGGTAATCTACGCTAGAGAAAAACATACACCTAACGGTAGGCCGTTACGGATTTTGTTTCAGCTGTACATAAACTTTTCTGAGTTTTTCTACCGTAATCGCAAGCGTCTCCCTTGATTTGTCCGGTCCGCATACTGTGACTCAAAACCACAAGATGAAAAAACGAAGTTTACACTATTTCTGTTCCAGCTACATTTAAGAGGGCCTTCCTAAAGAGCCTTTGTCCAAGAACAATTTGCTCTCTTTTGTCAGAAGCGAATCTATTAATTCTGTGTGATGTTCGTATGTAGCCTGCGTGCTAACCTTAAGTTGAAAGCTTTTTACCCAATGACCTGAAGAATTAGGACAAATCAGAATAAAGCCTAGTAAGCTGTTTCGCTGCACGTCAGTATTGTTTATCTGCTGTTATTTAGTGAAGATGTAAAGATTTTTTTCCTAACAGATTAGGATAATTTTTATACAGTTTCTTATTTGTTTTTGGATGCCTTATTTCAGGTTCCAATGCTCGTAGGCGGTGGGTCATCTGCTTAATGGTTGGTTCCATGAGTCTTTTAATCCTCTTTATCATACTGGGTACATATCGTACACGTATGGTGAATCCGACACCTAGGAACACCACTGGCGCTGATTTATATACAGGTTTAGCACCGACAAGTCTACCTGACAATGATTCCACAACACAGGCAACTGTACATCCGGCCACCGGTTCGGCCTCAATTGAGTACGTGCCTGACCCCTTTTTTATATTTTGTAGTAGCATCGGAAGCTTAGTCGATCGACTTAATTATGCAAACGGTAGTATGTCGAAATCGAATGAAACTTATATAGTATGAGCAACCTACGTTAAAATATCGTGCCCCCGGAGGCAACCCAAAGTAATGTTTAATTCATTTAAAATATTGTCAAGAGGCTTCCATTCTACACTGTAACAAATCCACGAGAGAAGCAAATAACATGGAATATTATTCCCTACGGCTCTTTACGGCTTTTAGAAACTGCTAGAGTTGATAGCACATATACATGCAGATGTTGTAACCAACTTATATAATGAGATAGACGCCTATTGGGGCAAGCAGGGCGAACTTATAGTAACCTTTCGCAACACACTTTGCAAATCTGCCAGCATGTCTACAAACGCGATAACAACGGAATCTCCTAACGAGCAGCTATCAGGAACGAAGCAAACATCGCAAGCATCTAGTTCCGCAAGAAACGATAACTCGACTCTGTCATCTGGGATGTTTTCTGAGCCAGCACCTTTTTCAACGACGAAGATGGAAGTAGATACCTTTGATACCAGTACCTCCAGCGAAGTCGATCCCGCGACCACCACAGTTGTAGCAGCAGCAGCAGCAGCAGCAGCTTCAACTCAGAATGCCGAAGGCTCTGTGCTAAATGAAACCGGGTCTTCTGATCTTGTAAAGGAGACTAGCAGCGGTTCTGAAAGCGAGTCATCGGGCTCCACGGAAAGTGCCGTAGCGGGCTTCACCACAAGTTCAAATACGGCTTTCACGTCAATAGCATCGGACGAACCAGTGCTGATGGTCTCTATTGCAAGTACTCTGTCTTCACCGCCGTCTTCTGCTAGCAACACAATTGATGGTTAGATGGCAGGCCCTGCAAGGTGAGACCCAGGGCAAACATGATGGCATGCACGTTCGCATAATTTCTATAGAAAAGCACTACTTATAGTGCAGATGGCATAGAAGGGTGTTTTGACAGATGTAAGGGATTCATACAAAGTGTGTTATTAACTAGGTGTATAAACCCCTTCCATACTGAGGTACGCGGGTCACTGGTGAATCCTGCTTGTTAGGACTGACACTCAATGCACCAGATCTGATTGAGAGACTGATATCTAGATCACAGTAATTCGTGCGATCTGTCCAACTTCACCCAGCTTAGCTTGACTTTTTTAGATTTCTAAAAGGTCGTTTCACCAAGAGGACATGGAACTAGCGTAAAAAAATTCAAACCACGAGTTCGCTGCGCCATAAGCATAGAGTTCTTACAAGATTATCAAGTTATTTAGGTCATATGCTGTATATTATGTCTGCGCATTTTGGATCATGTCTCCGCTTGTGCACTTTGACGAACTGATGGTGATGGAATCTGTGGCCAGCACTCAACCTAGTAGGGTCATATTATTCTTTTTTACTATCATCTCTTTTCCTTTTATCATCATCCATATTTAAATAAAACACATTTATCTTTTACTAAAAATGCCCCGTTGTGTTCTTATTTCGCTTACTAAACAATAGTTGGCATCGAAGAGGTGACGCCTCTATTATTATCTACTCGACGCTATTTGTAGAATCGAATTACTTAGAATGGGATAAAGTTTATTAATACCTACCGCAAAAACGTAAATACCTTTTTTTTTTTTTTACCTAAAATAGAAATGCTGCTATTATAGGTGACTGCTTGGAAATCCGTGCTAAAGAGGTCACAACTGGAAGCACTAACACTGTTATCTTCCTTTAAAAGCATTGGTCACCTTTATCACTTGAAGAGGGCATAAAGCATCATAGCCCTTTGTTCACTCATCTGGGATAGAGATTCAAAAGCAGAATGAGATTTCTGCAGGTTCAGTTTGCCTTGTTTAGTTCTGTATAATTAATGCTAAACCAGATCGTTAAATACGAAGTCGATGGACAACAAAAGACTGCCCATCATAACCAGAGAAGCCAGTCATCCCCAAATTTCGATTTCCTCGTTTGAAAAATGGCAGGGTTTCGTTAGAACGGACTAGTCCCGTACGATATGATTTTAGATACGCTCCTGGGATCGAAGCGTAAAGCAATAGAACAATCTCCAAGTGCTACTTAGTGAGCAACTCACGTATGAGAAGTATCTATTCATGTGATAAATCAACTATTTATGATGAATGAGAGCACGAAACAAGAATAACTTTTACTTTATAGAATAATTTCGATGTAATAATAGTATGTACACAACCCAATTTAGGCATTATCCAGTTCCAGAGCAACTTTTTAATGAATATATAAGTTGCAATGTGATTAGCCAGTGGCCCTGTTCAGGCACACTATTGATCCTTTGGAGACTGAACGCTGGTTGTTAGCAAGAGTCAGACTTAATATCTTTGTATGCATTTCTTCTTAATTTACCATTCGTCTATATTATCGTGTAAAGTAAGTTGTCATCAGCTCGTCACATGAATGTTCAGCTCCATCCACTACAGGGGCAATAATCGGACCTGCTAGGCGACCGTCTCTACGTAGCAGACGCGCGTCTGTCTCGGAGCTAGATCAGTGTAAGATGGAACGACGGAATGACGTCCAAATAACGTCGAACGCATCAACAGATTGAGACAGTGTTCGGGGATGCGGTTGAAATCGGAGGCTTCATTGACGACCGGCTTCAGTTGCTAAATCGCTCAATGGCTTTCCATTTCCTTTCAGGCGTACTGGTCACCGGTACAACAATGCGTTTTACATGTGTACTAGATGACATAATTTGCCCGCATTAGCTTCATAGTAAGTCACCTATTTTCGATCGTGCAGGAATCCAGAGTCAACTCGTTAACATTAACTGGCTCATTAAGAGGCCGATTTCGTCCATAACGTTTGACTGTACTCGTTCTTCTGCTTGCTTTATTAACGGCTAAGATCGATTGTATTCCATATGCAACATTCTAGGGGAACATCCAGTATGTACAACTTTACAACTGTTTGCAATTCCAACAATTTTTTCTAAAGCCAGTTTTAGATACTATAATGAGTACTAGATAGGAGTAATTTAATATCAAGCATGACTCGGCACTTGAATCATCGCTTTATTTAATCCAAGGGGTGCGATCTAATGTTCATTTTAATGAAACATTGTCCTCGTATTTCTCACAGCTCGACATATTGTTGACAGAGAACCAAAGTCTTAAGCGGCCGATCGAGTGCCATCGTGTCAGGCACATGATATGCCGCCGGCCTCAAATGACCGCAGAAGTTGAGCAGATGCTGGTCAGCATTAGCTTAATCATCCGGCGGCGTTTTCTGCAAGGGGCGCATCCCCTCAGTGTGACGGCATTCATGAAATCTTCACGCCTCATATTAACTATTACAAACAGCTATACACCACAGTCACACAAACGCGATCTGAATAGGGGCGTGGCAAGCGGTGAAAGCATCATTCTATTCCGCCGCCCATCGGCGCTCAATGCGATCGCCGTCGCTGTTCAAGAAGCGCAAACGACCGCTAGGTCTGCCGCAATTGGGACGCCATATCTGTATAAGCCTATGGCAACAATAATTACAGGACTTCGCTTCCGTCTCCTGGTGATGGTCTGTGGCGGACCAAGCTACTGGATGAGTAAGGAGGACGGTAGCAGTGAACGACGATAAAGAAGATGTAGCTTGCGCAGCTACTCGAAGAATGGCGCGAATGACTGGCCCACAAACAATCGTTACAAAGATAGTGTGTATAGACGCATCTCATGTAAGGAACAGGAGAGTTAGGCGCTTAAACCACAGACACGCACACGCAGACACGCACACGCAGACACAAAGGTTGCTCGGTGTCGATGAGGATAGCTCAGAAGGGGCTTTCAGCGCTACAGTTGGAAGATGGGCAGGACGACTGACTTCTAGGATGCTGAGTTCCTCGTAGAATATCAGGAATGGCTACGGAAGTTGCGCTAAGGTGAGTGAAGTAAATTGTTACCAGCTTTATTTTGGCCGGACAAATCACAGCGTTCGAACATCAGTCACTCGACGTCTATTGGTTGGCACAGTTAGAGGTCCGCTGGGATAGACGATTTCTAACCACTGTTGTGCTTAATAAGAACAAAGAGGTGTGCATCTCCATAACCTCAAACCGAGGGAAACTATTGGTCAGGTATCGAACCATAACTGGACCTACATTGTTAAATCATCAAAATGCATGTTACAGAGTTAGGACGGCCAGTTGACCAGCGGATACGTTTCCACGAGGCCAAAACGCCTCGAAAGGCAGTGCTATTCGAACTATCGTTATCAGTTTTCTCATGGATACATTTTACAGTTGTTTTGTTTGCGTTTTGTTGCTTAAGTGCCATGGCCGAGGCGCCCACAACGCGGAATCATCCGGACGTACAGCGAGACGTTTTCTACGATGGTAGGTCATAAGGTGATCTGGATGGTCCGCTTAGAAAAGCTTGAGCAAACGGCAACTATGGCAGAAACAGAAAGCTCAGATCAGCTTCGAAGGCGTAATCATGCAGCAAAGCCACGGGAAAAAAACTTATCATTTGCGTAAACGAGTGAAAAAAAAAGTCATTTTTTGCTTTGGTAAATCAAACTAAATGCCAGAGATCCCTTAGTGTTGATTTCAACTGAAAACTTTTTTCGGGAATATTTATAACTGATACACCAAATGATGTTTTATCGTGCATTTCCAACAATTGAGTTTCTTTGAACGTACATACATCGACGATGCGAAGAGGTTTCGATGCACATCTGCTTGATACAGAACTTGCTATCAAAGCTATTTAGCGATCTATTGATCGATCGTTCATACGAATTTCATTGCCAACTCAAAATCAGTGACTGCCCTAACGCGTGGCCAATTGAGCCATTGGACGTACTCGAAATCACGGTTTGATTGGATTCCGGCAAACTTTATCGTTAATACAGTATCGAAAACAAAAATACGTAATTTACGTGGGTGTGTCAGGCAGCAAATCGGCCAGTTGTGCGTAATCATTCTTATAGTTAACCACAAACCATGTGGCGGAGTGTTGAAGGATTATACGTACGTAATAGAATAGTATTATACCTCAATCAGTTGACGTTTTTACTGGAGAATGAACTGGACGCGAACTCGGATAGACTTATATCGTCTTATATATTACCGTCTTATATCTACGATCGTATCGTAATAGTATTTATTTGGAGGAGTACTAGGTTAGGGAAAAAAGCTCACAATGTAGCTTGATGAGAAGAGACGCGAGCAAATGCCAAATTCATATAGGGAATACGAAGTGTCTAGAAATTATGCGTGGATTCCGAGAGAAGTGGTACAGAGAACGGTAGAGCACATGTAGTCATAGCATAAAGAAACGTCTAAAAGTAAGTTAAATTACTTCATTGATAAATTTCAACTAGTCTAGGACAGGTTCGATGTCACCGCCTACTTCCTCACGCGGCTGATCATACGCTACCTCAAGTAGCAGTCTGATTAAAGCATTCTATCTAACGGGCGATAAGCACAAAAAAAATGGTCGATATCTTGTGCACATCGTAATAGCGTATAATAGTAGTAAAACGTAGAAGGAGATACACAAGTAGAAAAAATGCTATTTTGCACTCCTATAGAAATCTCCACTAAAGAGACGTTGTTGTTGTTTTTGGAACATTGGGTGTACCAATATTAGTAATTTCATAGGCATTGCAGATGGATGAATTTTCTCCGTGCATTTTATCAGGGCATTAAATTTTTTCCCTCTAGATTACGGTGGAGGCTACGGTGGGCACTCTGTGGAAGTTCTTACTCGTCGAATGGGAGCTCTCGCCCACCCGCCTCCCAGGCAAACGTCGTTGTCTCTATTGCTACGTCAACATCAAGCCAATGTTCCTCACAGGTGAGTTGAAGTACGCTTACGCTTCGCACAATTTCCTTTTTTGCTTTCGAAAAGGTTATGTCTAGGTAGGTCTACAGTTAAGGGCGAATTTAGGTTAGCGTCCAGGGGACGACACAGACTTGTTTAGATTTTCATCAATCTGATTTTCCTATGATGGAGTCGGAATTCTTGCGCTATTAGTTGCTTTCGGACAATAGTTTACACAATCGACCACTCAAGTTCCTTTGAGTTGCAACAATCAACAGACACATGTGTTTAGACTTAATTTGTCGCAAAGGTTGTAAGCTTCTATTATGGGACAATCGTGATTGAGACTTCCGCAGGCCGAATCAAATGTCCTATGAACTGAAATACTAAACAAAGAATGACCTCTTCAGGAGGCAGTCGCACCCTCGGCAAACATCCTCTAGTGCCGCACGACGTCAATGGGCTCTCGCAAACCGGGACCGTCTGTACGATCTCGACGCCCACGAAGGTTCACCGGCTGGACGCAAAAAGGGATTTTTTGGAAGTAGTGAAATTTATTTTTCCATCTGCAATGCTCTATTAGATATCAGTTTCTATTTTTGTTTACGTGCTCCTGCCAAGAATTAATCATGCCTCGAAATCGATATTTTTTTTT